AAGAACACAAGATAGACATTAGACATTTCTCAAAAGATATACAAATGGCCACTAAGCACATGAAAAGATGCTGAACATCATTAGTCATTAGGGAAATTCAAATAAAAACCACAATGAGATACCGTTTCACACCAATTAGGATGGCTATTATAAAAAAAAAAAAAGAAAAAGGAAAAGAAAACAAGAGCTGACAAGGATGTGAAAAAATTAGAACCCTTATGCACTGTTGGTGGAAATGTAAACTGGTATAGCCACTATGAAAAATAGTATGGCAATTTCCCCAAAAATTAAAAATAGGATTATCACATGATCGAGCAATTCCACTTCTGTGTATATACCCAAAAGAACTGAAAGCAGGGACATGAATAGACATTTGTACACCTATATTTATAGCAGCATTATTCAAAATAACCAAAGGGGAAAATAATCCAAGTATCCATTGGCAGATGAATGGATAAACAAAATGTAGTGTATCTATACAATGGAATATTATTCAGCCTTAAAAAGGAAGGAAATGCTGATACATGCTACAACATGGATAACCTTGAAGACATTATTCTAAGTGCAATGAGCCAGTCGCAAAAGGACAAATAAGGTATGATCCCACACTTATGAAATACTTAAGGCACTCAAAAATCAGAGACATAAAGTAGAACGGTGGTTGTCAGGAGCTGAGGAGAGGGAGTAATGATGATTTAATGATTTAATGGGAACTGTTTCAATTTCACAAGTTGGAAAAAAGTTTTGGAGATGGATGGTGGTGATGACTGCACAACAATGTGAATGTACTTAATGCCACAGTATTGTACACACCTAAAATTGGCAAATTTGGCTGGGCACAGTGGCTCATGCCTATAATCCTAGCACTCTTGGAGGCCGAGGCGGGCGGATCGTTTGAGCTCAGGAGTTCAAGACCAACCTGAGGAAAAGTAAGACCCCGTATCTACTATAAATAGAAAGAAATTAGCCAAACAACTAAAAATAGAAAAAATTAGCCGGGCACAGTTGTGTGTGCCTGTAGTCCCAGCTACCTGGGAGGCTGAGGCAGGAGGATCGCTTGAGC